CGTCGTGTTTTACTATCGTATCCATACGACGTGGGGAACTCTGTTCGACCACTTTCCAAAGAGGAAATTTACTCGTTAATCCGATCCGTATGTTTTGCATAGCAGTCTGTTATAATGATTTTTTGAGAAATACTGAAAGTTTCAAAGAGATCTTCGTACTAGAAGTATTCTAAAATGTGAAGAATACAACCCCAGGGGTACAAAATGACCCCAGGGCGTACGGATAGGTTTAATAAATATTAACATAAATACCATCCCACATCATCAGTTATCACCACCACCACCGTCATTTCTAAAATCATCATTGCTCTCAAATCCTTCCCGTACATCTATAATTATCTTGAACAATTATGTATGTAGTACACTATTGGACACTATCATACGCACATTTTTCTACTAATCAGATGACGTGAATATCATAGAAATGGGCAAGAGACACAAAAAAGTGTGCTTACTTACCTGCCGACCTGAACATCAATAAAGGATTTTAACCCATTAAAAAAATTAGGGTCTTAAAGTACGGAAGTCCATTTTTGTATTTTGTATAGGAAAATGTGTAGTCTCTGTTATTTAGTATTACTCTCTTGTAATGCCTCTAATCTTCCACACTTATATGACTTTATTGTGGTGCAAGTGCTGTAAAACTCTTACTAAAACTACAAACACTGTTATCCTGTGACAACGAGTGGCCCTCTTGGACAGTTCTCCCCCCTCCTCCCCCCTCCTCCCCCCGGGCGGTGCTACAGACTGAAGTGTCTTTAGTCCATTCCCTAAGGGGGGATATTAACATATTCTTATGCATAGTAGAATTGTAAATGGGTTGATTTATCAATGTCATGCTCATACTGTGCCGGAACAACATAGGAGGAACTGCTGCTTTTTTCTTTCCTCATCTTTACTATCGTCATTTTCCCTCTACTTCTTTTGCATGTTTGTCAATCTCTCGTGAACTGCTTTTTCCGGGATGCCTTGATAGACTAAGCAGACTTTGTGCTGTTGAGGCTAGATAGGTGAACAGAGTAAGCCTGATTCCCCTGTTTGGACTTCCCTGTTGACATCCACCCCTTGGCGCTCATATGATGACCGTATGCAGTTGTGAGAGCCATAAAACACTTACGGGGGCTCTCGTGGCCTAGAGGTTAAGGTGTTGGCCTCTCATTCAAAGGTCCCGGGTTCGAATCCGGGTAGCGACCGAAAAATTTTCTTCTCTAAAATTGTCTCCTTTCACCTCCTTTACTGCTCTCTAGGAATGTTCTGTTTTCTGCTTTCATGTCCACTTTCTGCCCCCAACCCCTCACCTCCTTTGCCCCCTCCTCTGGGCTCCTGACTCTTTCTGCAGCCTTTCTACTGCTACTCCTTGGCTCCTCCTTACTGCTGTCTTTCTGCCACACCCCTGATCTTCTGGTAGGAAAGATCTACACCTAGCCTTCTCGGACAAGGGCGAAAAATCTCGGAGGGCGCGTGTGCAAGTTGCGCACGTTAAAGATCCCTTGGTGGTGTAAAATCGATAAGAGTAGGCTTCGGCCGCCACCCGGGCAAAATTCAAAATTTCCTACCAACTGAAAATATTAGGTGTGTCCCGCGCCCTCATATGGCCTTATGCAGTTGCGAGCGCCGTAAAACACTTTACAAAACAACAAACAAACAAAAAACACTTACCTTAAAAAAAAAAGGGAAAATTCCGGCTGTATTGTTCCTTGTGCTGTCCACAGGGGAGGAGACTCGCAACCCTCAGCGGGCCATCCCGATAGGAATCATCGTCTCCCTTATCATCATCTTTTTCTCGTACTTCAGGTGAGTGGGTGGTTGGAGGGTGCTCTTGTGTGGCCTGTTCCTTCTTCCCTATCAAACACCTATGGTCCTTATTTCTCCTCCTCCTTCTTTTTTGTGTTTGCTACTCTCTTGTAAAACTTCTAATCTTTGGCACTTATATATGACATAACTGTGCTGCAAATGCTGTAAAATACTTATTATTAAACACAAAAATACTTCAAATAATCACCCAATTGTTTGGTGTTTTTGTTGAAAAGTGAAGTGGGTGGTTGGCGGGTGCTTTGGTGTGGTTTGCTCCTTCTTTCCTATCAAACATCTATCGTCATTGTCTCCCCTCCTTCTATTTTGTGTTTGTTACTCTCTTGTAACACCTCTAATCTTTGGCACTTATATGACCTTATCGTGTTGCAAGTGCCGTAAAACTCTTCTGACTAAAAACTAAGGATAAAAACCTGTAAATTCTTTGCCATATCGACAGGCCGAAGGGCTAGAACCCAGATGGCGCTGGGTCGGGAAAGGGTCACCTCTATTCTCACCCCGGGTGAGAATAGCGCAGGCGAGTCTTTTGGTTATTCTCACCCGGTGTGCGTTCACCGTTATAGTCTAGTCTAGGCCAACCAATTTTGTGTTCACCCTAAACCACAGAATTCTACACTGTGATAACAGAAAAATTGTAGAATTCTGTGCCGTGAACAAACGTTCCATTCTCACCCCGGGTGAGAATAGCCACTTCGGTCGAGAAAAGTACAAAGTAAAGTAAAGTAAAGTTTTCCTCTCCCCAGTGTGTCGGCGGTGATCACCCTGATGTGCCCATACTACCTGCTGGACACAGACGCGCCGCTGCCCACCGTGTTCGAATACGTGGGCTGGGGCCTGGCGCGCTACATCATCACTGCTGGGGCCGTGTGTGGTCTCTCTACCAGGTGTGTATGTGTGTGTGTGTGTGTGTGTGTGTGTGTGTGTGTGTGTGTGTGTGTGTGTGTGTGTGTGTGTGTGTGTGTGTGTGTGTTTGAGTACATGGGCTGGGGCCTGGCGCGCTACATCATCACTGCTGGGGCCGTGTGTGGTCTCTCTACCAGGTGTGTGTGTGTGTGTGTGTGTGTGTGTGTGTGTGTGTGTGTGTGTGTGTGTGTGTGTGTGTGTGTGTGTGTGTGTATATTTGAGTACATGGGCTGGGGCCTGGCGCGCTACATCATCACTGCTGGGGCCGTGTGTGGTCTCTCTACCAGGTGGGTGTGTGTAAGTGCTGGGCAAAACCCAGTGTCGGTACTTTCTTGGTACCCATATGTGTACTGGGAGTGACACCAGGAGGTGATGTCACAGACTGTGTGTCTCGCGTCTCATGCCACGATCAGCGCCGTCCGCATCCCCCCCTCCCCCCTCCCCCCTCCCACACACACACACACGAGTCAGAATTGTGACGCAAAATGCCTTTCTAGTTTGCCACTGCGCGTGATTAAATTTTGCGTGCAGAATTTAAAAAATAATTATCGATTCCATTTTCGGATTCAGCATATCAAAATAAGCAAAGTGGCTCACATGGAACCTTTAAGCAAACTTCGTTTTTGATTTTTGATTGTCAATTTTGAATCTGAAGTTATATATATCAAAGTCACCCGCTGCGCTGTGCATATGACGTCACAGCTGCTAACCCTAGGCCTAGGCCTACACACTGCACACTTCCCGTGGCCCGGTTAAAAAATCGTTGGTGTCAACTCCTTCACAGAGCCGGTACTGGGGTCCTGGTGCCGGTACTGGGGTCCTGGTGCCGGTACTGACACCTCCTTCGGTAGAACCAGGAGTTCTGATACTGGGTACCGGTACCTGCCCATCCCTAGTGTGTGTGTGTGTGTGGGTCTCTCGACCAGATGGGTGTGTGTGTGTTTGACTATGCGTTCGAATCCCATCTGGCGTCCGATGTTGTTTCCTTGGGAAAGGCACTTGACACAAACTTTTCCTCACTTCACCCAGGTGGGAATGGGTACTTGGCTATAGACAGAACAAGATTTAGTCAGTTTGTTAGTGCATCAGTGTGGGAAATCAGTGGCTTGCACTGTATGCTTCCCCGATAATGTTTCTGAGTGTTTTAGGGTCCACTGGCAGGATAATATTCGTAAAGAGCATAGTGCATGCTATAGAGCATGAATCTGCACTATACAAATGCAACTATTATTATTAATTATCATCAAATGTCCAAATTAAATACGAGCTCTCAGATATTTTTTAAAAATTTGCCCATCAAAGAATCCAGATCAGATCTGCCTAAAATCCAATCATTTTCTTAAATTCCACTTTTATTCTAACAGATGGTTAATAATCTGATGATTTTTCACTCACATACATGACCTGATGTAGTTGCAAGCGCTGTAAAACTTTTACCCAAACTTATTTATGACTTATATGTGTGTGTGTGTGTGTGTGTTATTATTTCCCGACAGCCTTCTCGGTGGCATGTTCCCGCTACCCAGAATCCTCTACGCCATGGGCTCTGACGGGCTTATCTTCCGCTTCATGGGCAAAGTCTCGGACCGGTTCAAGACCCCTGTTATTGGCACAATCATCTCTGGAATTTTTGCTGGTGAGTTTAGATTTTTGTGGCTCGTAATATTGTGAACTGCTCTCTCTCTCTCTCTCTCTCTCT